ACATACGTAAGTGTATAAAAGTAAAGAAAGGAGAGGACTTAGGCACTAATGTATACTTATTGGTAAAGAATTGTGAGCCTGCAAAAAAAATAGAGGGATGTTCAGAGAAAGAAGTGAATGTTGTTCTGTGAAAACCAAGCATTGAGAGACTTTTAAGAGGGGAATGGTTACCAGCGCTTCTGAATTGTTATGAAATGAGTGAAAAGTGTCCTGTGGGCTTGGCGATAGGGAGAGGTTATTGGTGACTTGGCTGTTTTGGTGGAGTGGTGAGGGAAGAAGCTAAATAGGAGTGAGTTCAGTGAACAGGAGCTGAGGAGATGGAACCAGTGAGAATAGACAACTTGTATGGAAAGTTTGTCCTGTGAATGGTTGGAGACAGATATGGTGGCTGCCAGAGGAGATGTAGACTGAGTGGTATTCAGTGAATGTGGCATAGAAAACGTAGAGTTGAGATGATTCTGAAATGTTTTGATGGGCAAAGAGATGTTGGAAAAGTATTTCAATTGAATAGTGGGCAGCATGAATGAGCAGATTTTCAGAACATAATGAAGAGACTGACCTAACTGCAGTAGTATAGACTTCAGGAATAATGGGAAACATGCTTGTACAGGTAGGGAAGGTGAGGCTGAATTTCAGAGGGCTTTGTTAGCCTTGGAAAGGATTTGAGATTTGATTATATAAACAGTTGGGATTGTTGATCTGGATGAAGAATGATAGGATATAGGAAGAGTTTCAGGGAGACAATTTAGCATTCGCCTGGACACCAGACTGAACATTGGGATGAGTCAAGGCAGGGATACCATGTAACTGTATGGCCTGCCACAGTTATCTAGTCATGAAGTGGACAGCTTATGGATTAGAGAGGGTAAACTGGCTTGGGCTAAGGGGAGAAAGAAAACAATATTTGATGGTCATATTAAAAATATTTATAGTTGATACTATAAATAAAAGAAAACATCATTTATTTATAGAGGAATTTATACTTTCTGAAGTACTTTTGCAGAAATTAGTTCATTTTGATCTCTAACTGCCCTAGGTACCACAGAAATGTAGTATTACCATCCTCATAACTAAGGTTAAGCTCAAGTATCATTGTTTTCCTAAAACTTCTGATTCTCTGGTTAGATGGAATTATCCATTGTCCTCTTTGAGTGTTTTTAAATTTTTTATGCAGCAAAATGCACAGATCTTAACTGTATAGTTGAATGAATTTTGACAATTGTATACACCTGTGTAACATATACCTCTATCAAGATAGAGAACAATTACATTTGCCAGGGAGTTCTTTTTCTCTTTTCTGTCACTTCCTCCACCATTCCCTTTAGAAATCATTGTTCTGGTCCCTAGCATCATATAATGTTAGTTTTTCCTATATTTAAGCTTCATATTAATGAGATCAAACAGTATACCTACTTTAGTGGCTTGTTTCTTTTATAATGTTTTTGAGGTCATATTGTTGCATGTATCAGAAGTTTGTTCCATTTTAGAGCTGAGTAGTATTCCTTGTGTAAATATGGCACAATTTCTAATCCATCCTCTTCTTAATAGCCATTTGCATTGTTTCCAATTTTTGGCTACTATGAATAAACCTGATGTGAACATTTTCCTACAAGTCTTTTTGTAAACATATGTTTTCATTTCACTTGCATAAATACCTTAAAGTGAAATTTCTGGGTCATAGATATGTATTTAACTTTACAAGAAACTGTTTTCCAAAGTGATCGTACCGTTTTGCATTGTTGCTAGCAGTTTATAAAGAGCACCAGTTGTTCTTGATTCTCATCAACAATGTTGTATTGTTAGTCTTTAAAACTACTCTAGTAATTGAGCAGCAGTATATGATAGTGCTTTCAGTTCATGTTTCCTGATGCCTGTTGATTGTAAGCATCTTATTCTTGTGCTCATTGGCTGTTGTTATCTTTTTGGTGTGTGAAATGTCTGTTTAAGTTACTTGCTCATTTTGATACTTGGTTTGTTTGTTCTTTTGTAGGAATATTTTGTATTTTCTGGATTAGAGTTCTTTCTCAGATATCTGTAACATAAATATTTTCTCCCAGGCTGTAGGTTTCCACTTCATTTTCTTGAGAATGCCCTTGAATGAGTAGTTGACAGTAACGTTGATGATGCCTAATTTATCAACATTTTCTTTTATGGTGATTGCTGTATGAGGCTTATATAAGAAATTTTTGTCTTCCTCATGATTGCAAAGATTTCCTTCTATGTTTTCTTCTAGAAGGCTTATAATTTTCCCTTTTATATTTAGATCTATGACCCACTTCAAATTATTTTTGTGTGTGAGGTAGGGGTCATGTTTCAATTTTTGCTCATATGGATATCCAGTTGTTTCAATAAAATTCGTTGAAAAAGACTTTACCTATTCAGTTGTCTTGGCATCTTTGCAAAAAAGCCATTGACATTGTATGTGAGGGCCTATTTCTGAACTCATTTTGTTTTATTGGTCTATTTGTCTGTCCTTACTCCATTTCCATATCATCTTAATTACTATAGTTGTACATTTCTCTAACTTTGTTCTAGTTTTTCATATTTTATTTTTAACTACTTTAATTTGCATTTTCACAAACTTTTATAATTTTTCAATTTTCTCAAAAAAGTCTGTTGTCATTTTCATTGTGATTGTATTGAATCTATAGATCAATTTGCAGAAAATAGAACACTTTTTGATGTGGAACAAAAGAGCAAGAAATGTATTCCTAGTGTAGCTTGTTTATGTTTATCTCTCTTGTGGTTTACTGAGTTGCTAGTTTTCATTCTATTTGGAAAAATTTTATCTATCATATTGTCCGATAACATGTGTGCCCTCTCTTTTTTTTTTTTGTTGACTCAACTACATATATTTTAGATTGCTTGATATTGTCCCACAGAACATCTCTTCAATCTTTTTCTCTTTTACTTCAATTTGCAATAGCTTGTATCGATGTGTTTTCAAATTGTTCTTTCTTTCTTAGTGTCCAATCTGCTGTTAAACCAATCCAATAAATTATTAATTTCAGAGATTGCATTATTTCTTTGTTTACCTATTGACTTCTCTTTCTACTGCCTACTTTTTTCCATAGTAATTGTAGGGTTTTCCATTTCTTGCCTGTCTAATAATTTTTTATTGTTTTTGGGACATTATATCAATTCATTGTAGAGATTTGGGATTTCATTATTTTCCTCTGAGAAGAGTTACTTTTTTTTTTTTTAATCAGGCAGTTAAATTACTGATGGATCACCTTGATCATGAAGAGACTTGATTTTAAGATTATTTTTTGTGTTTTGGTCTACTTTTTACATTTTTTATTTCAGTCCCAGGGCACATCCATTCATCCTATGACTTGTTTCTTACTCCTAATGCATGGCCTCCTGTGTTAAGATGGAAGGCTTGAGGTGTTTTTCAAGCTTCTCTAGCTTGATGGGACTTGAACTCTGAAATTCATCTGCTAGCTTTGGGGAGCTGGTGAAATTTCTATCCATCTCTTTAGCCCTTTACCATTGCTGTCTGCTGGATTCCTTATTGTCTCACCCTATGCCTACCCAGTTTAGGCCACAAGAAGGATTTGAGGTATATTATGCAGAGGTTTATCACTCCATCAATTAAAAGATTTCCCCAACTCCAAGTTCTCTGCCAGCCCCAAATTGTGACCGTTGACTCCTTATACTTGTAAGACACCTCTGCTTGAGGTCTTTCACACTATGAACTTTCCAAACTGGCAAGTGCTCTCAGGGGAGTAGACAGTTAAATGACTAGCTCAGCTAATATAGCCTCTCTTTTTCAAGGGTTTATTTTTTCCAGTTTCTGCCTACTTTCGGTTGTTTCCTAGTGGCTTCAAACAGATTTTGTTTTTCATGTTTTGTCCCATGCTTCTTTATTTAGTATCTATTCTGACAGTTGTATTTTGTTGTTATGTATTTGTTTTCAACAAATACTTTTATTGAGAGCAAAGGGTACGTTTTACTAATCTTTATTTTATCCCACTGTTTGACCCAGAGCAGTGACTTTTATACAGCAGCTACTTAGTAAATGTTGAATTGCATTATTATTTTTATGAAGACCAAGTATGAATGAGGATTTAAAGTCTTCTACTAAAAAGTTGTTATGTTTTTAGTATACTACCCTGAGTATGAGTTCAAAAGAAATTTTCTTAGGTAAAATTTTGGCGCATAGTATTGCTTTAAATGTTTTTACTTTTAAATTATTTATATTAAAAATAAGTGTTCATTTATATATTTTAATATTATTTTAACTTTAATTCCTTTTAACGTTGACATATAACTTGTGGTTTACAAAACTGCTAGAGTTTCTGCCTAATATGATTGGATTTTCAGTCATTTTATATTAATTTATACAAAAGCAAACCTACTTTTCTGTGTAAAATAGAACAAAGATATCTCTGTTATTTAGAATACTGGTAGTTTCTAAATTATCTGTATTATGTGGTTGAAAATATCTTTGAATGATTTTAATTTAAAGGAAGATTTTTAAATTCTATTTTAAATTAGACTTTTCAAGATCAGTCTAATGGACAAAACATTTGTTCCATCATGTCAGCAATATATTAATATAATTTTTGAAGGGGTCATCCAATTTTCTTTTATTATCAACTTCAGTATTCTCAATTTGTAGGGAAGTGACTGTAGCCCTAATCTTAATAAATTAACCAATTTTTAGGTGTAATTTATAGTCATTAACATTATTTAATACTAACTATACTTTTATTTCATAGCTTAGGGTATATACTTTAATGCAAAGAAATATTATAAACTGGTTTCTTTCAAATGGAATTTTTAGTTTGTATATAAATTCAGTATTTATTGCAGGTCTTACATGATGATCATGCAAAGCTGGTTATGTCAATTTCAAGAACAGATTATATTATTTGTACAATTACAAACCATAGTTTTATGTGTCCATCTTTATGAGTTTGCCTTTTTGATTACTTGAAATAAGTGAATTGTTGAATGAAGCTAAATAACCTCCTTTTTTCTCCTTTCTTCTTCAGAATCAAGTTTCTTACTGGGAAATGCCCAGATTGTGGATTGGCCTGTAGTTTATAGTAATGACGGTTTTTGTAAACTCTCTGGATATCATCGAGCTGACGTCATGCAGAAAAGCAGCACCTGCAGGTAACAGAATAGCTAAGTAATCTTTTCTGAAATTTAACACAAATCTGAATGTAATTAAAAGGCTTAAGCTTACTTGGACTCCCATATACAAACTATAGAGTTAAAAATTATATTAGAATATTAGGGAGACTAAATCATCACTGGAAACATACAGCTTAAGAGCCGTTGGTGAGAACTTTTGCCAAAAGGAAGAGTTTTATATATCCGTGAGTTAATCAATTCATTCAATAAATATTTTTTGATCACCTACCATGAGCCCGGAATAGTCTAGATGCTGAATTATCACAGGAATGTCTTGTGTCAGGGAACAACTTGTGGCATGTGATCTACAGCATCTCTGGAGCAACTAAATTGTCTTGAACAAAACAGAGTAAACACCACCTGGCCAAGTTAAGCATGGTCCATGAGAATGTAAAGAACATAAAATAAAGCTCTTACATCCTGTGTAAGCCACATGTACTTGGTAATGGTACATTGTTTGACTCATGTACAGCAGAATCTGACATTTATATTATTATAATGGTTCTTTTAAAAAATATGCCATTTCTGTGAGCTTAAAGAGAATATTAAGAAAAAAGGGGATCAGAAAAAAGAAAAGGAAACTATATATAAGGAACTAATTTAGAACCCAAAACTTTTCACAATATTTCAGTAAGGCCAGATGGGATGTTTTTTCCATGAGTTAATTTTTCTTTAAAGCTCTCATTTAACTAAGCACTGAACCAAGTTATTTTAGAACTACAAGGGATCTGATTTTTTTTTTCTAGGCCAAATCCTGTTTTTCAGATGAGAAAACTGAGGTAGAGACATGTTAAGGGACTTGCCTAGAGAAATAGTGATTTATTTTTTCTACTCATTTATGCTGAGAAGCATGATATATATATGTGTGTGTGTATATATGTATGTGTATATATGTATAATAGTTATATACATATACAGTTGACCCTGGAACAACACTAGTTTGAACAGTGTGGGTCACTTATAGGTTAGTTTTTTCAACCAAATGTGATCAGAAATGTAGTATTAGAGAAATACAGATCAAAAATACAATATTCAAGGGGATGTGAAACCCTTGTGTACAGAGAGCTGACTTTTTATATATGTGGGTTCCGCAGGGCTAACTGCAGGACTTAAGTGTGCATGGATTTTGATATACGCAGTGATCCTGGAACCAATCCCCTGTGTATGACTTTCTCCCTCTCTATATAACTGTATATTTATCTGTGAATTAATCAATTCATTCAATAAATATTTTTGGATCACCTACCATCTACCATGAGCCAAGAATAGTCTAGGTGCTGAGTAATCAGAGGAACATGTATATCTGTATATATACATACACACAGAGAGAGAAAGGGAGAGAGAGAGAATCATCCTTGGTATACAGAAGGGATTGGTTGATGACTCTCTCTTTCCCTCTCTAGATATCCTTCATCATCATGAAAGATAGATATTTTATATTACACCATTGAATTTAAACCTGACTGCACATAGCAATCACTTAAATAGGTTTTGCGAAACAGATTCCTACCCCGCTTAAACCTACTGAATTAGAATCAGTAGGTGATTCTGAAGTGGGTGGGTCAAGCAGGGAGTCAGTATTTTTAACCAACAGCTTAGATGATTCTGGTGCTTATCCAGGCTTGAGAAATAATCTGCTCAAACATTCTCTTCCTTAATCTATGCTCCTCTAGCCATCCTCATTTTTGCCTCTACTAAAGGCATTCTCATATTCAGTCTTCATTCCCAGGTGTGGAAATTGGTAAATGGGAGTGATGAAAATCTGTGGCTTCTGGTTGAGAGGATCCCTTTGCTAGCACTGATATCATTGGTCCGAGTTAAGCATTGCTCCTCTCCTATCCCCCAGAAGGCAGTTTAAGTTAGAAAAAGCTGAGTTTCATGGTAGACCTTATCCTGTGGAACAGGTCCCTAGAGAGTTCCAGGAAACGCAGATATACTCACACTCCCACTTCTTATTTTTGAACTGCTGACATCCTGTCTTCATGCCAGGTTTGTCTCAGATCTCATCTTCTACCTGAAGGTATTTATGATTCCCTAAACAAGACAGGTTTTTCCCTTCTCTGATTCCTCATAGTTTCTTGTGTATATTTCTGTTGGCATCATCATTTGCCCTTAAACTAACTCGCCTTATCTCTTGGGTTTTTATTCTTATTGCTTTATTGCTTTTGTTGCCATTTTTGAGAAGTACTGCTCTTCATATCTGGATCTATTTTAAGTCCTGCTCTCATCCCTTCTTGTGTCCCATGTATCTGCCCTATCCCTGGCCTATTTTCTTTGCCAAGTACAATTTTTCCTACAAAGGATTCATGAAGAAAATAACTGCTGGTATGTTATATTAGCTCTTTGCTCCTATGAAAGAACTGCCTTTCTTCTCCTAATACAAGTACCACAAGTACCAGATTGTAAGTGCCTTAAGAGTAGGGACTCCATCTTGCTCACTTTTCTATGTACAACAGGACACAAGACAGTGTCTTGTATTTATTGAATTAGATGGCTTGTTTTGCAATAAACCCTTACCTAGGTCTCACATGCTCTGAATAGCATACTGTTATTTCTTGTATTTCATCCTGTGTTATGACATGAGGTGGGAGAGTTTTGGATTATACCATGCTTTTTAACTGCATAAAAAAGTATTTCAGTCTTTCCCCAAATTGTCTTTACTTATCAGAGACAGTGTTTTCAAATGATCGTGTTCTTAATGTAAACAATTATTACTTACTTGCATAAAATGCCAGGTATGTTTTGTTAACCTAAAAATTGTAATCAGTTTAATGCCCTCACAGAACAATGAAGACTAGCATCTGATATATGAACAAATATATGACCTGTATCAGTTTTTCTTGGAAGCATGATTTATTTTAATGTGCTCTTCTTTTAAACTTCCTTATTCTCTTTTAAAATTAAACTATATCCATTTTATGTTTGCTGTAGCATTATTTAGAAGACTGAAGACCTGGAAGTAATCAAAATATCCAGTAGTAAAGTTTATCTACATCATATGTTGTATATACTGGAAGGACAGTGACACTGGAAAAAACTAACAACATATTATCAAGTAGAAAAAAGCCTAAAACAAAACAACAAACCCAAAACCACCCCCCAAGCAGTTTATAAAACAGTGTTTGCATCATGACTCACATTCTTTTACATATAGCTTTTTTCCCATTTCTTGAATAAATCCAGAAAAGCCTTTAAATGTGAGACACAAAATAACAGAGAGAGAAAAGAAGAAAATTATATGCACATTTAGAAACACAGGGTTGATGGCTAAAAGTTATTATAGTATGTAGAATTACTGACTTATAAGTGAATATGGAGATAAGTATTTGACACTGAGAATATCCTTGTAAATAATTTTAAAAATTTTGCTTATCATAATAAGTTTTTAGACAGACGTAAGAGAATAAGAAGCTACAAAGCGGTGAGCTTCATTTTATATGGGAAAATACAACCTTTGACACTATATATCTCAGAAAAAAGAATCATTTTTATATACAACTTGCATTAGATGAATTAAAGTCTATAGGATTAAAGTGACAACTAGGTAAATTATTACATGCCATAGTTTTAAATGTTCAAAAGTGAATTGTTTTATGGTAAAATAGAAAACACATTAATTTGTGTTTTTATAATATCAAGAGGCTAATATTTCTTTCTTCTGTTTTATCTTTTTTCTTCTTTGTCCTTCTCAACCCCTCCCATGCCAGACCAGACACACAGAATCAAATTAAACATAGTCCTCAGTTTGTCACAATATTATCATTTTGCTCTCTTAAGCAAGGTCTCTCTTTATTTTATTTCATTTTTTTCCTTTTATTTCTTTTCCCTTTCATCCCATCCCCCTTCTTCCTTTTAAGATTATTCATTCTAGAGTGTGTTTATTGTATACCTTTCTAATCTATCTTCTGCTTGTTTATTAAATATGTATATTCTGGAAATGATATTGCTTTGCATATGTTGGTTTTTAAGATCTATTTAATTCCTACCACACTGTAGTATTTATGGTTTCTTACTCTTTTCATTCACCATTATGTTTTTAGACTTCTTTGTGTCATCATATGATGATCTATTCATCATGTCTGATTGTTGTCTAATGTTCTAGTGTCTTCACAGCCTTCGTTCTATTTATACATTCTATTAGTCCTGGAATCTAACTTTGACACTTTGCTACCTCAAACAATTTGGAAATAAGCATCCTCCTACACATCTTCTTGTGGCCCTGTGTGAGAAGTTTTCTATCTCTATCCCCAGAAATGGGATTGCTGGATAATAGAATATATGCAGAGTTTGTAAATTAACTGCTATGAGATTGTTGCCCAGAGTAACCTTCTGTTTCCATTCTCAGCAGCCATTAGTGAGGGTTCTAGTTTTCCTACATCTTTGCTATGTCATAATAGTACTGAAATTCCTATTTGAAAATATCTGATGTGTGTTAGGTATTGTCTCATTTTTGTTTTAGCTAAAATTATGACACTATAACACTTTCGGATCCCTGGGAATTTCAAACGTTGTCCATTTTACTGTGGACATTGCATTTTCCACACCTTTGGACTGTTTTCCTGTTTACTGGAGGACATGAAAAGTATTGCACGTTTAAAAGAGGTTATAGACTTTGGGAGAATGACATTTAAAAGCATGTGATCTGATCTCATGACCTGTAGAAGCTCTGACATTTGGGATATGCTGTCATAGATTAGGTAGGAACCACTTTAGCATTCTACTTCTAATTAACCTGAAACTTTTAAGAGCCTATTCTGCTGTCGTTTTTTGTTTTTGCTTTGGATAGAGGGGTGAGAAGAACAATCAGGTAGTTTAGGTAGGCAGGATTGAGGGGTAGATAGATGCTCTCAAATGCATTTTTTTGAAAGGCCATTTACAATCTCTTATCCAACCCCATCAAGTTAGACAATGAGTCAGAGATATTAGAAACACTTTATTGGATAGATCTCACAGCAGTTTTATGAACACAGGATTATCTC